GAGAGCTGAGTGCCCGTGGCCATGCAGGACAGAGGCTGTGCAAACGAGAGCCAGAGGTCCTGCCCTCCTGGCCCGTCAGACCCCCAGGCCTTCAAGAGACAAGGCCACTCATTCGAGCCACATTTGCTGAGCCCCCACTACACATCAACTCAGCAGTGCTTGCTGGGTGTCTCAGGTTTGGCTCTGACCAACTAAGAGGAGTGAAGGTATTTGAGAAAGATGAGTTCTGGATGTACACTAATTGCTGTGTGATCTTAGGCAAGTTACTTAATCTCTCTGAACTTCAATTGCCTCATCTTTAAGATGGGGATATTCATAGCACCCATCGGTTTTTTGAGGATTACATGAAATAAGGTAGTGTTGGTACACATGAGAAATGATGACTGAATGGTAGCTATTCATTATATCATATTGATAACATATGAAGGGGCTTCAAGAAGTTCATGGAAAAATGAAATGAAATGATAAAGGCATTTTTCTATAAACTTTTTGAAGCCTCCTTGTATCACTATTACACAATTTACATAACTTACATTTCTGAGTCAGTGTCTTCATCCATAAAATGAAAATAACACCAGCTCTCACTCACTTGGGTCGCTGAAGGATGAGATGTGCTTAACAAAGGGCTGAATGGAGGGGTGAAACTCAGCAAACAGCGGCTGGTCAAGAGGCCAGCTCCCTGAATGCTGTTACCCAACATCTCCAGCTGCTTCTGTCTCCTTCACTCTCTCTTCCTTTCCATCCCTCAAAGGTCGGCACACCTCTCTTCCTGCTCTGCACTTGCTCCCTGATAGGGAGGGTGCCCTACACCAGGTCCAGGACCCCAGAAGCCATGTTTGTAGCATAGCCTACTCCTACCCTCACCCCTACTCCCAGTATCAGAGCTGAATGGGCACTTGACAAAGGTAGCCAGCTTTGGTCAGCTGGTGACCTAGCTGAAATTGATGAACAAAATGGACCACAGCCCTTCTCTTTGGACTTTAAACTAAAAATCTTGGGTGAAAGCTGCCTGATGATGGGACCCTCATGCCTGGGTGGTCATGGACAGGCAAGTCTTGTGGGTACAGAATCTGCACGCTAAAGAGAGGAGGTAGGTGAATATGCAGAGAATGGGCAAACACTGGGGCAGCTTTGGGTCCAATTCCTTGTAGTCTAATGGTTCTAGTTCCCAGTTTGCCTGAGGTCTTGGCTGGTCCCTGAAATTGACTGCTCCTGCTTTGGGCTACCTGGAAAGCCTGGATCCTGCTCAGGGGAGACTGTGGAGCACACCTGGGCTCATCCTTGGTGCTCTAGAGCCACCTGCCTCGCTGAAGGCAAATCAAAGGTGAGGGACTGTCCACTCTGAGGATCAGCAGCATCTTCTCTCCCACAGATCTCAGAGCAGAGGTAAGAATGGTACTCCCTCTTGGGATGCACTTCTATCTCCATCACTCCCCACTATGCTCCTAGGGTCACTGTTTGTCTTTCCTAGAGATAGTGTGTCTCTAGAGACAGTGTCCCAGCTGTCTCAAGTGAGTATGATATAAAGCATTGAGCAAATACTAAAGCCCCATCTGTGCCGAGGTATCACAAGGGATGACATGGTGAGGTTACTCCACACACACAGACATGCATATTCACTACACCTCTGCTGACAAGAAAGCTGAGGAACCTGCAGCTCGGTAGGTGAGAAAATACTGCCAGGAGGAGCCGCTAGGTGGCCGTAGCTTACCTGTCCATCTTTCCTTCAGACAACCTGGGAGAAGATCCTCCAGAGAATCTTCCTGTTTGCACCCTGCCATCAGCCTTACAAGGAGCTCTGGTAGCGTGATGGTTACAAATGAACCGGGCTGCTAACCTCAGGATCAGTAGTTTGAAACCACCAGCTGTTCCGTGGAAGAAAGATGAGGCTTTCTGCTCCCATAATGATTTACATCCTTGGAAACCCTGTACAGGGTTGATATGAGTCAGAACCAACTCCACGGCATGTAAACACCACATCAGCCTTACACACTACTATTCTCCATCTCTGCCTTTGCTTTGCAGCCTCACAACTGACATGCCTTTTTCCTGTCCATTCAGATAGGCATCCCATCTCCGGAATGCCTTCCCTGACCACCCTGGAGCAAAACACACTGGACCTCTGCTGACCCTTAGTATCACCTCCCTGGATCCTCAGCACAGGGCGCACCCATGTAGACTGTAATCTTTCTAAGATAGGGGTAGAGGGCAATCTTTTGGGTGTACATAGACATATTTGGAATTTTCATCCTGTCCCCCACACCTTGCAGTCTCAAGGTCACAACCTTGCAGTTTCAAGGTCACATGCTTGCTTCTCAAAGTGGGCAGGAACCTGCCAACCTCACAGCTCATTTTTTTTGTTCCAGGAGGAAACTGAGTCTCGGAGAGGCCATGAAATCGGCTCAAGGTCACACAGCAATTCATAGTTGGAAAGTTTAAGCTCTTACCTTACCTCAGCACTGTGCTGAGTGGTTTGACCTGGCAAAAAGCCCTTACATGGAGAAACTGAGCCTCAGAGAGGGCCAGCCTCTTGCCCCAGGCTACAGAGCCAGGAAAGTGTGTTTTTCACCTTCCTCTGCCAAAGCATGAGGGTCCTTCAGTTTAGGAAAGAGGAGAGTAAGGACCTAAGTCTTCTGACTGCTAGCTAGACAGTGCCCTCCTCTGCCCCAACCCCAGGCACTCCCATGAGGGCAGCTGAACTGGGGCTGCAGATGAGGGAGGTGAGTCAGGCAGGAGAGGGGAGAGAGGCTTTGTACACACAGCTGGAGAGTGGTGAACAGAACATCTAGCAGGTGGTGACAGCTTCCTCAGGGTGCATGGGGCTCGGAGTTCCCTGCCTCCAGCGCCTGGCTCAAGGCTGGACCCAACGAGTTTAGGCAAGTTACCTTCCTCCCCCAACTATCAACACTCGCTTAGGGAAGCAGCAGTCAAGAGATCAGACAACGTATTGCATTGGGCAAATCTGCTGCACAGGAACTTTTTAAAGTGTTGAAGAGCAGAGATGTCAGCTTGAGGACTAAGGTGCGCCTGACCCAGGCCATGGTGTTTTCAATAACCTCATATGGATGCTAAAGCTGGACAGTGAATAAGGAAGATTGTAGAAGAATTGATGTCTTTGAGTTGTGGTGTTGGAGGAGAATACTGAAAGTGCCATGGACTGCTAAAAGAACCAATAGATCTGTTTGGAAAAAGTGCAGCCAGAGTGCTCCTTGGAGGCCAGGATGGCTAAGCTTCGTCTCTCATACTTTGGACATATTGTCCGGAGGAAACAGTCGCTGGAGAAGGATGTCGTGCTGGGTAAGGTGGAGGGTCAGAGAAAAAGAGGAAGACCCCTAACGAGATGGATTGGCCAGGTGGCATCATTGATGGACTCAAGTGTAGCAGCGGTAGTGAGGTTGGCCCAGGATCCTTCTGCTGTGCATGGGGTCGCCATGAGTCGGTTCCGACTCGATGGCACCTGACAACAACAACCACCACCTTCCTCCCCCAGCCAAACCACCGGCAGTGCAGGGCCAAAAAGGGCCTGGGAGAAGCAAGAAGATGGGGCGGCAGACTGGCAGCCGGTGGGGGAGAGACTAAGGCGGTGCCAGGGAACAGTGTGGCGGGCCAATGCGCCCCGGGAGTCGGAAAACGGCTTTGGGGAGAAGCGGGGGGATGGAGGATGGGGGTGTCTGATTTGGAACTGGGGGAGCGAGAAGAAGATAGGGGCCAGCAGCAAGGAGCGGGGGCGGAGAAGTCTGCTCGGTACGCGGCGTCGGGCGGTGTGGGGGCTTCCTGGTCAGAAACCACAATAGCAGCTTGTTAACAGCGCAGATTAAGGACTTTGTCAATTACCTCCGAAGGCTGTTCCGGGCGGATTAAATGCTTTAAAAAGTACTGCAGGTGGGAGGGGGCAACTAAGAACCCCCTCCCGGCACAAATCCCTCCTCTTCAAGGCCGAGGAGGAGGTGGGGGCTGAGGAGGCGCGAAGCGCGCCTGGGGAGCGCGGGCGATTGGCCGGGAGCGCGGACAGAGCGCGGAGCGGCTCGTACTCGCGACCGCAGCGGCGGATAGGGGATCCTCAATTCAGTCAGCTAGCGGGCTAGGCTGGGAAGCCTCAGGCGAGCTGTCACTCTCGGTGCACTACGGCATAGGTCTACGGACGCAGGCCAGTCTGCTGTCAGAGTTGGGTCCCGGAGGGAGAAGATTCCCTGGGGCTGCGCACTTGTCCCGGGATCGGGACCCAGACCTCGGATACCCGCACGGGGCGTGCCTCCACTCCCCCTCCATTCCCTACTCCTCTTTCTAGATTAAGTCTCCCAGTAGGCCCTGCGCCCTGATCCCTAGGGAGTCAAGAGGAACCAAGCGTCCGTCCCCGGGAGACTCCCGACGGCCCTGCGGGAGAGACCAAGGGGTTCGTCCCAGCACCACCCCCTCCCCATCCCTGGCGCGCGGTGAGTTTTGCGTGTCCGGCTCCGAAGGAAGTTTGTGCAGGGGCGTCGCCTGGGGTTTCAAATCCTTCCCCCGAGCCAGCGAAAGCCGGGCTGCCAACGGCTGTTTGCTTCCCTCCCGGGCTGCCCCAGTGTTCTGGGGTCCATGTTCTTCTATCCTGACCCTGTTGAAAGTGGTGTTTAACTCTCAGTCCTCGGGTGTGTGTGTGTGGTGGGTAGACTGGGAGAGAAATAAAAGGCAAAGAGAGTCCGAGACAAAAAAAAAGACCTCAAGATTGAGAGGCAGGGAGGAGGGAGAGAAGAGAGAGGAAGGAAGAGGAACGCGCAGAGGGAGGCGCGGGAGCGGAGAACCGGGACGGCGCACCGCGCGAGCGTTCAGCGGGCGGGCAGCCGGTGGCTCTCGCGCTCCCGCTCCCACCAGCACTCACAGCCGCGCACACACCGGCGCACTCACACACCCGCACCCGCGTGCCCGCACGTCCGGGCCGCCCTGAGCCCGCGCCCACCTCGGCGCTTTTGCACTCTGCAGCGGCGCGCCTTGCCCTGCGCTCCCACCAGTGCTGCCGGAAGATGGTCAACGACCGGTGGAAGACCATGGGCGGCGCTTCCCAACTTGAGGACGGACCGCGCGAGAAGCCGCAGGTACGCGCGGGCCCGGGGCTTGGGGAAATGGGCCGGCGCGGCTGGCTAGGCTATGGCCGCCCCAACGCGCAGGGCGGGCACCGAGCGCGGGGACTGGAGTTTGGGGCGCACCCTTGGAGGCTCGGGAGGCCCAGGACGGGCGCTGTCTGGTCTTCCTCCCCTTACGGAGGCTTGAACTCGGGGTATGGGTGGGGCGGCGCCCCCAGTAGAGACCCCTGGTGGACGCGTGTGCGGAGGGGAGAGGAATGTGAGACTGGCCCATCTGTGTGACCACAGACGAATGACACTCCTTGATGAATCTTTTTTTTCCTCACCTCTATAATGGACATAGTAAGCACTTACTAAGTATCCACTGTGGACGCGCCCTACGTACGCGAGGCGCTGGCGCGGGTTAACCTGAGCTTCAGGACCAGCACCTGACACCCTGAATCTTAGAATCCTCAGGTTTTAGCCAGGGTGCCCCTCCTCCCCATATGCAGGAGAGATCAATAAATATTCGTCTCGTGTTAGGCGCTGCGTATTATGACTCTCACGGTCAAGGAAAGGGAGACTCGGAGAGGGTTGGCTCCTGCCTGAGGCCAATTCGCTCCGCTGGGATATGAACTCGGGTCTGTGCGCTCTAGGGCTGGTTGGTTCCACACTTCCTGCTGCCTCTTCTGGGGCGGAGGAGTAGGAGTGGGGCTTGGAGAGTGCCTAGGGCTGTGTCTCAGAAGGGGTGAGGGCAGAGAGCCAGGCTGGCCAGAGAGAGTGCTGGAGAAAAGAACCTGAAGTGAAGGGATTGCCCCAGGCCACTTGCCAGGGAACTGGGGCAAGCAGGCAAAATGAGGAGGCCCTGCTCGCCAAGAAGAAGCAATAGTGGGACTGCCCGTTTTAAATTTTAAAATTCTCCCGGACAGATGTCATTGGGGAAGGAACAGCTCGAGTTTGCAGAGGCAGGAGGGGCTTAGCTCCCCTTACTCTCTGGAGCAACAACATGTACATTCTTTCTGGAGTGACATGCTTATGTGTGGGGCTCAGCCTTCTACAGTTTATAAAGCCCTTCCCCAGCCCCCACGCAACACCTCTCTTCCCAAAGCAGCCCGAAACTAGGCAAAGATTCACAAGCTCATGACCAAAGGTCAAAGGATGTGATGTGCCCATGTCAGCAAATTAGCAGGAGAGCTAGGATTCCAACCTGGGTCTGAACCCAAGCCTCTCCCTAAGTCTTCCAGGAACAGTTTGTTTCCCCTCCACTTCAAATCCAACAAAACCACCAACTCACTGTCATCAAGTTGTTTCCGACTCATAGCAACCCTGTGTAGGTTTCCTAGGTTTGGAAATCTTTACAGGAGCAGAATCACGTCCCAAATAATAACAAGTCGCCCCTAGCTGAAAATGTTATTCTCCCTTAGTTAGGGCAATCCTAACTCCTGGATTCATCATTCAAGGCTGTCCCTCACCTGGCCCATGCTCCCTTCCCATTAGTCACCTTAAATGTACTGATTCCCCAACATCAGACTGTCCCACCTCCAGACCTTTCCTCGTTCTGTTGGAGACTGCACACACACACACACACACACACACACACACAGACACACACACTTTCAATGAGAGAAACCCAGCTCAAATCCTTGGGGAAACCTTTCCTGATGTCTGGGGTCTGTGCCCCAGAGTCTCTGAAGAGTTTAATCTATGCCTTTATCTTATTGCCTTGTCCCCTAGTCTGAGCCCTTTCCTCCATTTGGAGTTCCTTTTGGACACATGCTCATCTCTGGATCTCCTGCAGGACCCAGGTCCCAGACCTTCCATGCGCTTAGGTAGAGAGCTGAGGGTTATTTGCTGAACTGAGTCCCCCTGGCCAGGAGGAGCTTCAGAAGAGAAATCAGTAGCCCAGCTTTCTCTAAAGGAAAGGTGACTTCTGAGGGATCTGTTTGAAACGTGGCTTTAAGACTTCTTGGGTTAGGTCCAGTCTCTGAAACTCCTGGGGGCACAGATTCCAACTGCCACGGGGACACAAGCCTCTGGTATCAGAAGTGTCCAAGAGCTGTGGCTCCAGTGGCCTGGGCCAATATCAAATACCAACTTCCTTTCCCACTCCCTGGTGACCCAGCATTAGGTGGGCTGTTTGCTGTATCAATCTCAAGTTTGTTTGAAGCTTCAGATGAGAGGAAAGAGAGCCTTTCGTATCCTGGCCCCCTTTGTACCAACCCTTTCTTGGGCCCCACCTTCTCTTCCCCTTCAGCTATTAACATGCTGTGTGACTCTGGGTAGGTTATTAATGCTCTGTCTCTGGGCTTGGGCCTATAAAATAGAAATATCAATCCCTGCTCCTCTTCACTTCACAGGGGCTGTTATGAGGATCAAGGGAAATTCTGGTGTGTTTTGCAAATTATAAAGCACGGTGCATCATCTGTGAGGAAGATAGTTTTTTGAACAAAGCATCCTGTCCCCTTTCACAGGCTGCCTATATGCTGGTCTCTCCTTGCACTATCAGGGAAAGACTGATACAACCAGCCAGCTCTCAGAGGAAGGACCAGGCTAGCTTCTTTAATGAGGCACTTCCTCTAGGGGAGTAAAGACCAGTGCCCCACTTTGGGTACCAGTTGGTCACATATCCACATTTGTCATTTCTTTGTCACAACTACTGTGAGAGGTTGGTGGTAGGCTGATTAACCCATTTAGCAGATGAGAAAACCAAGGCTAAGCACTGGAGCCAGGACCCATGCCTTTGTGGGAAAGTGTGGGAAGATACAGGAAGCGAGGCTGGCTGTCCTTCCTCTACCCAGCCTGCCTTATGTAATTTGCAAGGAGAGGCTCTGGCATCAGGACTACGTGGTTCTTGGGATACTCACAGCACCACTGCCAAGAAGGCTCTGCTTCCCATTGCTGCTTCTCCTTGGCCTGCCTTGGGCTGCTCCGTCCCAACCTGTCTAGCTTCGGCTCTCCATTGCTGGGTGGTGACCTTGGACGAGTGGCTGGACTTCATTGGAATGTCCCTTCTCCACCTGCAGGGACCTTGGGGCAGAGAGATGACAGCAAAGTGATATTTATCAGGAGTTTGGAGTTGCTTAGATGAAAGGATCCAGAAATAGACATAATTCTTCTTATCCCCAAGAATGGGGAAGGAATAATTCAGTCAACACCTCCTCCAGGACTGCCTTGTTTGTGAGTAATCTACCCCACAGGAAGGTGACCTTAGTGGTTCAAGACCACTCATCCCAACCAGTGTGCTCTGATACATTGGAAATGTCTTAAAACATTCCGGAAATATTTTTTTTTCCTCATTGGGAAGTTTTCCCTGATGTCTAACCTAAATCCCTGCTATATTTAATTCATTCAATTATTGAGTCCCTATCTTAAGTTATTTGTGGAGCCCACCAGCCTCTCCATGGGAGAAGGATGAAGCTTTCTGCTCCCATAAATATTTACAGCCTCAGAACCGACTCAGTGGTTAACAGCAACAACACCTTCAGCTAGGAGATACAGTGTTAGCCTTGTAGGATGTGGTCTTTGCTTCAAGGAACTTACAATCTCACGGGGGAAACAAACTCACAAGTCAGATATTATTACAAACCATGATGGGTGTTATAAAGAAAAAAGATATATGCCTCTTTTCCCTTGTCCCTGTGGTTTGCATTGAGGTCACCAACTAGTCATGAAATATGGAAACAGAGCCAAGAACTCTTTCCTTCATTCGGTGTTTCCCGAGTGTCTAGCTCAGTGGTGTGGACTGTGATGGGATGATGGGAGGGATGGGAGGCCAGAAGCCCAGCTTGGGGAGGAGAGCAGGGTACATAAAAGGCTTCCTGGGGGAGGTGATTTCTAACCTCAGCCATAGTGAGATTGGGTGAAGGAGTCCTGGGGGAGAGAATGTGCCAAGTCTGTCCTTGAGGGAGACCAAGGGATGTTGGGGAAATGAAAGGAGGCCAAGACAAGAGGCGAGAACTAGGCAATGGGGAGGGGGAGACTACAAGAAGTGAGGCTGGTGTTGGGGAGACTACGGCTGGACTTAAGCCTAGGGGCTGAGCAGAGCCTTGAGCTGGACAGTGTCCTGGTCTGCTCTGCTTTTAGGAAAGGCCCTTAGCTGCCCACTGAAGAATGGGTTGACATCCTTGGGAGGCAATACCAAAGGCTGGACCAGCAGGGAAACGGTAGAAATGATTTAGAGGCAGATGATGGGGACCTGGGACTAGTGCAGGATCTGGGGAGCCTAGGTTCATGTGGGACATAGAATTGAAGGAAGTGGAGTGGATATAGCCAAGTGACTGGGTGTGGGGGTGCAGCAGGAGTATCCAGGGAGGTACCTGACTTTGGAGGGGTAGCTAGTAGGTGTTGGGGCCATCCCCATATTGAGAAACTCAGTGAGGCTCAGACTTGGGGGCAGAGATGCCTGGTTTGTAGGCAGGAGGTCCAACTAAGCCATTCAGGAGGCCAAGCACTATGGTGGGGCGGTGGTAGACAAGATCCTCACAGAAAACATCTAGGAGACAAGACTCCTCCGAAATGGCCCAGAGCAAGTAGTCCCTGGAGGATGAGAGGACTCCATCTTTGTGTCCCTTTGCACACCTTCCACTAGGTCTCCCAGGACCTAAGGCTTCGGATGTCCCTAAGCATCGGTTCTATTAAAAAGGCCCAGTGGGACAGGTCCTCAGAGACCTGCAGACCCTCCCCCCTCAGTCCCTAGGACCCCAGGATTTTGAGCAGAACAGCCAGCCCCTCACTCTAAGGGGTTTCCCAGGACCTTCTGCTGGGGCCCAAGGGCTCAGAGTTGAATCAGGTTTGGACCATTTTTCCAGGGAAGATGAGGAGCCTCCCAGGGGCATTGGATTAAGGCAGGAGCTGGTACCCACCCTCCCCCACTGATTCTTCAGGCCATGACCAAGGCTTAGTGCCAGAGAGTCCCTGCCTGGGTCCCTTGGTTTTCCAGCCCAAAGCCCCAAGATGTGTTTCTGTCTTGATAAGCAGCTGTCCTGCCTTGGCTGGGGCACTCCTGGAAGACAAACTAGGAAGGTGAGTGGCTCCGCCCACACCTGGTTCAAATCTTGAGGGCAGCCCACTCAAAGCTGGTAGCAGGAGGAGACTTTCTTCTTCCCACTTTAGTTCAAGGAGTTTGATCTCTCAGTCCACCCAGGGGAGTTCTGCTATCCAGTTCCCTTAGAAAGGAGAGGATGTGGGGCTGGACAGGACTGTTTAGCAGGGCACCAGTGTCTCTTCCTCTGGGCCCTTCTTTCCTTTGCCAGATCCCCAGGGTCCAGTCACTGAGGCCCATCTGAGGCTGCCTGCCTTCTGCCTGCACCCTGTCACAAGCCCACCTTCTCCTTTCCACAGCCACGGTTTCTTTGGGCCAGGCACTAGGGGTCACCTACAAAACAAAGTCAGGTGCCTCCAGTAGGGAGTTCAGGCAGGGGGTGAGTGGCAGAAGTGGGTCTTGAACCCCAGTCTCCTGACTCCTCTCATGCCACACTGCCTGGAAATACCTTCCCAGTCTTCCGTCCTGAGGAGGCGAGGCGGGGCATTTCATGTGCCTTCTCCACCTCCTCAAGACCCCAAGCTGTGTATTTCACTCTGCTGAGGCTGAAGGCCGATTAATAAGCTCCAGCCCCTAAGCAGACTCAGTTGGGCTACAAACCAGAAAGACCGCCCCCCAACCTTATTATCATGGACAGATTTCTTTGCAAGGCACGTAAAAGACAGCCTATAAAAGCGAACAGTACTTCATCTTTAAGGTGGTCTCCAAAGACTAATTCTCCTCTGCTGAGTGGCCTGTTTCATCTCGAAGCTTTGTCATCTCTGGCTCACCCGCCTGGCCCTCCACAGACCCCCTGCTGCTTCCCAGTCCCTCTCCCCTTCATGACCCTCTGCCTCTACTCCTGGGTAACTCACAGGGCTGGCATCCTGGACACAGAGAAGGGAGTTTCTGGCCATGCTTCCAGGTCAACCTCAGCCTCTCCAGCCAGGGGACCTTAATCCACGCAGTCTGAGGATGCACTCAGAGCTGCTTGCTCGGGGCAAGGTGTCTCTCCCATTGGATGTACCTGGGGATCAGACGCAACAGGGACTTGCTGACACAGAGATTTGTCACTCAAACCTCAGTCATACCTTAGGCAGGAGAGAGAACATTGTAGGATAGCTCAGCAGGCAGACCCTGGCATCGATCGGCATGATTCTGGAGTCACCCAACCCTGGGTTTGAGTGCTGGCTCTATCACCGGCTCCCCCTGTGAGCTTGGGAAAAGGTCTTCCGTTCTCTGAGCCTCAGTGTCCCCATCTGTAAAATGAATTCAGCTTCAAGCATAACCGTTTGGGAGATTTTAGTGGTGGGAACACAGTAAAAAATAGCAACAATGTGAAGCTGCTGACCTACGGTGGTTGGAGGTGTGGGGCAGCCTTCATTCCATACCGTGTCATCTGGACACCCAGTCAAAGGTGACTGACTCTGCCTGGGAATCCTGGACTTAGCAGGATCATGAACCTTCTACCATAGCAAGTGCATCATCGTAGAAACATGATCTGGTCCATCTGCCCTTCCTCTTTCCCTTTATTCCTTCCTCCCAGCAAACAGCCATCAGGAACACCTGTGTGGTGAGCCAGGTGGTGAGCAGGACAATACCCACCATCCCTAGAGGGATTCACAGTTTTGGCCTAGTTTCTTGGACCTGGGATGCACTAGCCTCTAGTCTTCAGAAATCAAGTCTACAGCTTTCATCAGAGTTCTCTTAGCTCAATAAGAGGCTTCGAGACATAGTCCAGGGGCTATGAACTCCCCTAAATCAGGAGTCAGATCTGGCTTATCCATGGCTAGCTACATCCTCAGAGACTGACCTAGAGACTGGTCCATGATGAGACCCAGTGAATATCGAATGGATGGTTAATGAATGAATAAAGTAAAAGTCAGTGACTATCAGTCTTGATAAGCACCACTAGTGTGAAGCATAGAGGGATGTGAGAGCCCAGAGGAGGAGTCCTTCACAAGTTGGGGGAAAGGATGATGAGACAGTCATGGAAGGCTTCCTGGAAGAGGTGATGTCATGTCTCGACTGAGAACTGAAGGGGGAGACCAAGTAGGGCTTGTGGCAGGGGAACATGGGAAGGGAGATACTCCAGGCAAAGGGAAACAAATGCATAGCCAACTAAGGGGACTGAAACATGTCTGGTCTGGTTGGAGTAAATTGGTTGATACTGATGTGTGGCCTCAGTATCAACCAGGAATGGAATACTGAACCAAGGGGTACCATCACTGCCAAGACAGGACAAGGAAAAGGGACCTTTTGTTCTCAGGAGTCTGCTTCTCCACCACCTCCACTTCATACTCCCATCCTCCTTTGGTGCCAAATAGGAGATTCAGGACAGACTTGTAGAGTTTGAATTTATGGGAGAAGCTGTGTGCTTGGCCGTGTTTTCTCAGTAGTGAGGTGCAATGATGTAAGAAGCATCAGTATTTTATATGTCTTGAAGACAGAAACAAGGCTGCCAATGGCAAGTGTAAGGTGTTCCCCAAAGTCGATTTTGTGAAAATGTAAAAAAAGAGAAGGTGCACTCCAGCATCAAAGACACACAGAAATAACACTTTGGATGGGGGGAAAAAAGTCCCTTCCAGATACACTGTACACATTGATCATTAGATAATAAAAACCGCTAATATTTACTGCACACGTGCAACGTGCCAGGCTTGGCTCCAAGTGCTTTAAAATACGAATTCACTAAAAGATGCATCTTGGATTCAGGAAGTTTTAAAGTGTGTGTATGTGGTGGTGGTGGTGAGGAATGTGTGTCTTGTTGTTGTTGTTGTTGTTAAGTGCTGTCAAGTCAGTTCTGACTCATAGCAACCCTATACAGGGTTTCTAAGGAAGAGCTGGTGGATTTGAACCACCAACCTTGCAGTTCAAACTGACCTTTCTGTCTAGTGCTTATGCTGTAGTATCATACCAGGACTTAGAATTAATACAGCCTGGCCCTGGAGAAGATAGGAGGGGTGGGGCCCAATCTGAGCTTTGCTTCCAATTGGTTCTGTGACTGGGCAGCCCCTCACCCTATCTGGGTCTCAGGTCCCCCAGGTGCAAAAATGCTTGGTGGCTGCTCTGCATGCTCTCTTTGGGTTGAATAATTAGGTCCCATGAGTGTGGACCCCCAGAGCATTTGCTACCACATTATGGTGCCTCCTGTGGATCTGGCTCCCCGCTCAGTGCTATGGGGACCACCCATAAACCTATTGCTGTTGAGTGAGTTGCCACTCCTAGTGACCCCATCAGGCAGACTGGAAATGCTGCTCCATAGGATTCCTAAGACTGCAAACAAAGCACACTGCGACGTCTTTCTCCCACACAGCAGCTGGTGGCTTCAAACTGCAGACCTTTTGGCAGCCAAATGCTTAACCCCTGAGCAATCAGGACTCCTTTTAAGGATTCTTGTTGTTGTTGTTGTTAAGTGCTATTGAGTTGGTTCTGACCCATGGTGGTGGTGGTGGTGTGCTGTGGAGTTGGTTTCGACTCATAGTGACCTGTACATGGTTTTTGAGGCTGTAAATCTTTACAGGAGCAGAAAGCCTCATCTTTCTCCTGTGGAACTGCTGGTAGTTTCGAACTGCTGACCTTGAGGTTAGCAGCCTGACTCGTAACCACTGTGCTACCCTGTATAGGGTTCATGAGATTGAACCTCCAACCTTGTGTTCAAACCGACATTGTGGGCGAGTGCATATCCTACAGCGCTGCGCCAGAATTTGCAAGCTGCACTTGGACTTCCTATGTTTTTAGGGCCCATGTAAATTCCAGCAGTCCTGGGACCAAGTTTTTCCACACCTGCACATCCTCTACTCATTCATTTTGCTTCTTTGCCCTCTTCTGGGTTCACAGTACCACAATAACCAGCTCTTTGGCATTTGTTCCGCTGGGACCTGCTCAGTGAAGGAGAGGAGACAAAGGAAAGAGAGAGGGAAGGAGGGAGGAGGTGTTTAGTCAGCCCTGCTGTAGCCTTGGGGGCCTACTGAAGCTGCCAGGGTCCTCTAGCAAATGGACACCCTGGGTTACAAGGGGCCGTCAGTGATGGGTGCTTGCTGTCCCCAAGGCACTCATTCTGCTGTGGTGGCAGGATGGTTTTTAACATTGTCACCGTTCCTGAGCTGTCTCCCTGAGTGTGAGGGCCAGGTGTCTGTGGTGTCTCAATAACTCAGAGAGGTGTGTGTCATTATTGCCACCATTTTACAGGTGAGGAAACAGAGGCTCAGAGAGGTGAGGCCCCTTGCCTAAAGTCACACCGATAGAGATGGCAACCAGGATCCTGAACCCAGTACCATCTGACTGCAGAGCCCGAGTCTTCATTTCCAGCCATTACCAGACCCGGGAGGGCTCCAGGGATAACATTAAATAAACCTATGCCCACCTCCCATCCACTGTCAGGGTGCCCTGGCCTCTTCCTGGCTTTCTCCCTCAAGCCTGCCTGGGAGCCAGCACTACACAGAGCACCTGATGCTCTTGGTCCCTACTGCTACCTACATACATCCGGGGCGTGCTGTGTCTCCCCAGCAAGTGAGGCTGTTCCTCAGTGCAAACACTAGCCTGCAGTTTTCTGTCTCCTTCCCAATATCTGTGGCCTGCAGGAGTCAGAGGTGACAAAAGCGGGAAGAGTCACTGTGCCCCTACCATCCATGGCCCATGGGGTGAGGTAGGGCAGTGACAGGGACAACTCTCTATTCATCTCCCCTTCTCTCTGCTTGGGTCTCTTATTCAGCATTCTCCATCTCTGCCTCCCTGTCTCTCAGCACATTTCCCCTTCTCTGTCTCTCTCCTTGTCTCTCTCCATCTGTGGTCCTGTGTGTCTCATTCATTCGCACTATATATAGGCCTTTATCTCTGTCCCTCTCTGAAACTCTCTGCCTCTCATCTTTGTCTCTGTAACTCCCTTCCTGGGGGCAGGAATCCGCTGAGCCATGTCCCCAGGGCTGCCGTGCCCTGCCTACTGAGTGGAGCTCAGGCCCACCTCTAATGCCTGTTGTGTCCCTTCTCTCTGTCCATATGTCTGTGCGCCCTTGCCGGCCCACAGCGGCCAAGCTGCAGCTATGTGCTGTGTACAGTGCTGCTCTCGCTGGCAGTGTTACTGGCTGTGGCTGTCACCGGCGCCGTGCTCTTCCTGAACCATGCCCACACGCCGGGCACCGCCCCCCCACCCATTGTCAGCACGGGACCAGCTGGGCCCAACAGCGCCCTGGTCACAGTGGAGAAGGCTGACAGCTCGCGCCTCAGCATCCTCATTGATCCACGATGCCCTGACCTCTCTGATGGCTTCACCCGCCTGGAGGGGGCCCAGGCCTCGATGCTACAAGCACTGACCGAGTACCAGGCTAGGCCCCGGCTGGCAGGTGAACAGGAGCGGGCACTTCTGGACACACTGGCTGACCAGTTGCCCCGGCTGCTGACCCGGGCCTCGGAGCTGCAAGCAGAGTGTGTGGGGCTACGGAAGGGTCACAGTACGCTGGGCCAGGGACTCAACACCCTGCAGAGCGAGCAGGGCCGCCTCATTCAGGTAAGGGACTGGCTCTATTCCTCGGGGTGTTGGTGGGGGCATGGTGTTGCCACGGCATGATGGCCCATTACTAGGCACCTGATGTCCATAACCTCACTAAATCCCTAAGTGTCGGGGACCTGCCTTGACATAGGTCCGCAACACCTAAGTGCCTGGGACACTGGGCTGGGTTATTTCCATTCACAGATGAGCAAATGAGGTCAGAGAGGTAAAGTCTCTTACCCAAGGCTACACAGCTCGTAGGTAGCAGTGTCAGGTCTCAAACCCAGTTTCTCTCCTGCCATGCTGTCCTGATGGCTCTGGGACATCCAACATTTAAGCCAAACCCAGGGCAAGGGAGAGCAGTCTTCCCAGCTGTGCCCAGCTGCAGATGAGATGCAGGTGAGGGGAACATTGCCCAATCAGCAGATGAACAAATTGAGGCCCAAAGAGGAAGTGATTTGCTAAAGGATACATTGATAATGTGTTGAATGGCAAACCCTCTTCCCAACATTGCCACCAGGCCAGAGAGAACTGTACCCCTCCTGTCTTACTCCCTACTCCACAGCCAAGTAATGCCCACAGCTGTCCAGGCAAGGAGAGACCAGTTGAGAGAGCTGGACCCTTGTTGTTGTTGTTGCTTTGTTGTTGTTAAGTGCTGTCGAGTTGGTTCTGACCCATAGCAACCCTCTAGAGGGTTTCCAAGGAGCGACTCGTGAGCTTGAACCACCAACCTTGCAGTTCAAACTGACTTTGCAGTCTAGCGCATTAACCCACAGCGCCACACTGTGGGTTGCTAGGTGCCATCAAGTCACTTTCAACCCCATACACAACAGAACAAAACACTGCCCGGTCCTATGCCATCCTCACAAGTGTTAGGTTTGAACGCATGAATGCAGCCACTGTGTCAATCAGTCTATGTTGGTGGGGATCTTCCTCTTTTTCACTGACCCTCCACTTTACCAAGCATGATTGATGTCCTTCTCTAGGACTGATCCTTCCTGACAACATGTCCAGAGTACAAGAGGTGAAGTCTCATCATCCTTGCTCCTAAGTACATCCTTGTACTTCCTCCAAGACAGATGTGTTTGTTCTTCTGGCAGTCTATGGTGCTTTCAGTATTCTTTGCCAATACCATAATTCAAATGCACCAATTCTTCCCTATCTTCCTTATTCATTGTCCAACTTTCTCATATATATGAGGAGATTGAAAATACCATGGCTTGGGGCAGGCATACCGTAGTCCTCAAAGAGTCCTCAAAGTGACATCTTTGCTCTTTAACACTTAACAGAGGTCTTTTGTAGCAGATTCTACTAATGCGATATGTCAGCGGAATCCTTAGCCAGTCTCAGATCATGCTCACCTTACTTCTAGCCAAGCCAGGGTTCTGGCAAGTGTCAGGTGGATCCTTGTGAAGAGTTTCCAATGTTGACTCAGAGACACATCTGATCACTAGCAAAAAGTTTGCCCTTCACAGAATCAGGGATTTAGGATCATACCCACATTTAGGATCGTCTTATTTGCATTTCCTCATCTTCAGCAAGAACACTGAGGCCCATATGCTCTTGTTTGTTGTTAAGTGCCATTGAGTCAGTTCTGATTCAAAAGAGCAGCTGGTGGGTTTGAACTGCTGACCTTATGGTTAATGGTTCAATGCTTATCCAACAGTGCCACACCAGGCCCATATGTTGCTGTTATTGTTAAGTGCCGATCTTGTATAAGGTTTTCGAGGAGTGGCTAGTGAGTTTGAACCGCCGACCCTGTGGTTCAAACAGACTTTGCGGTCCAGTGCTGATACTGCAGCACCCCACCAAGTGTCCAAATAGGGGTAGTGATTTAGTCAAGGTTCAGTGGCTAGGTCAGGCGAGAATCTCGTTTCCTGTTGCCCTGTCCAGTCTCCAGCCCAACATCCTGTCACTCCTCTAATTCAGATATTTTAGGAGGTAGGAGGCAAGCTTCCCACCCCAAGCCCTCCCTCAGCTCCTGCCAGCCTTGCTGCACCCCTCTACCTAGACACCGGATGTCCAAGCAGTCTGATCACCCAACAGCCTGTGAGCAATAGGCCTTTTCCCTCCCTCTTGAAGGCTGCAGCTGGAGAAATTACAGTCTTTCTCACCCTGTCTGGGTGACTGATGGGAAGGTGACTTCCCACTCCCGGGGCGGGGTGAGGGTGTTTTAGCCAGCCTTCTGGCTGCCTCCTCCTTCTGTGACTTCCCTAGGCACTGTCAGCAAAGCTCGGGGAGACCTCCAGATTTTCTGGGTAGTCTGAGTCCCCACCTAACTCTCCAAATGCTCAGCCCTAGGTCAGCTCAAGCCCCATTCACAGTAACTCACTCTTAATGCCGGGTGGGTGATAAGGAGGTGATAGAGCCTCAGGGTCCCCACACCACTGCCCCCGCCCCATAACCTATGAAGAGGCATCAAGATATTCTTGAAAAACGATCAACTTTTCTGAGGTGCAGGAGTGCTCTGTTCACCTGATATATTTACTCCTCCAGAAACTGTTTAATTGGACTCACTTTCCAGGCTAAGGATGAGTTCAGAGACAATTTCTCTTTGTCTCATTTGAGGGCAGCCAACAATGGTTCTTCATGCCTCTTCTCCAAGTTTCTCAGACCCTTGGCTGATGAGACCTGGATTTCTCAAAGATATACCCTTGGGCACCCTGGCTACCATTGCCAGGCAAGTTCCTGGGCTCCATCCCTTGGATCTAAAATAGGGGAACAAGGCTGAAGTCTGCATTTTAACAAGTACCCATGTGATTTGTATATGCACTGACCTCTGAGAGTTCAAGTCAGCAGTCTTGGGAATCAATCTGGACTACAACTGTGGACCTCAGGCAGGTCTCATTCCCACTGTAGGCTGGGTTTTCTCATTTATAAAATGCGGACACCACAGTACAGCCTAGATTGCATAGGACTTGACCGGAGTCTGGCATGGGAGAGGCGTTCACTATGAATAGATTCTACTATTAAAAAGTATTTCTACTATTATTTCCTGATGTGGTACTTTAGGGATAAGCACTGAACTGCTAACCACAAGGTCGGCGATTCAAACTCACCAGCTGCTCCCTGGAAACCCTATACATGTTCGCTAAGGGTCAGAACTGACTCGATGGCACTTAACAACAAAAATTATTTCCTATTTTCTATTATTAGGAGCCCTGGTGGTGCTGTGAGCTGGATATTGAACTGCTAACCAAAAGGTCAGCAATTCAAACCCACCAGCTGCTCCATGACACAAAGAGGAAACTGTTAGGTTGGTAAAGATTTACAGTCTCGGAAACCCTATACAGAGTTACTATAAGTCAAAATAAGGATCCCTGATGTGGTGCTGTAGGATAAGCACTCAACTCCAAGGTTGGTTTGAACTACAGATTTGGTGGTTCAAGCTTACCAGCTGCTCCTTGGAAACCCTATACAGGGTCACTATGAGTCAACACCGACTCAACAGCACTTAACAACAACAACATGAGTCAGAATAAGGAGCCCTTGTTGTGTAGTGGGCTATGAGGTGGGCTGCTAACCGCAAGGTCAGCAGTTCAAAACTACCAGCCGCTCTTGGAGAGACAGATGAGGCTTTCTGCCCCTGTGAAGATTTATAACCTCAGAAACCCCACATGGGGTTGCTGAGTCAAATCTGACTTGATGGCCTATACCCACGGCTACCACCATGGGTTAGGATCAATTTGATGGCGCTGGATTTCTCTTCTATTACTAATTATGGTGGATTTTGTAAGCTGAAGTTTACTGTTATGGGGAGACACCACTTAAAATTCCTTTTATAATGCCAGTTTACTAGTTGCTGTCAAGTTGCTTCCAACTAATAACAATCCTGTGTGCGCCAGAGTAGAACTGTGCTCCACAGGGTTTCCAGTGGCTGATGTTTTGAAAGTCGATTTTGAGGACTTTTTTCTGAGGAACCTTGTAGTGGACTCAAACCTCCAACCTTTTGGATAACAGCTGAGCACATTTGCACCACCCGGGGATTCCCTCCCTCCATCACCATTTGTGGAACCCACAACGTGTGTTTAAACTCGGTCCTACAACTATGAAGTCCTGGAGGCAGCAACTCTTGACTTTGCTGCCATCAAAAGGCTCATTAAAGACCTGGCTGCATCTCTGCAGCTCAGGGACTGACTTCCCCATTAATTCGGGTTATGTTTATACATACGTTTTCAAGTTTAATCATGTGTTGGTTTAAACTGAGATTAAAATTCGTATCTTTAGGAGGTAGGAGGCAAGTTTCCCACCCCAAACCCTACTTTGGCTCCTTTCAGCCGAGCTGCACCAGCCCCTTAGCAAGAAAGGGCTGTGCCTAAGTTTCTAGACTGTGTCTCCACCAAGCTTCTCTGTGGCTGAGCTGATTGAGAAGGATGCAGGACAGGTATAGCTGAAACCACTGAGTCATGAGCCCAAAGAGATCTTTGCCACCCATACCTTGTGGACTGGTCCCCTCCTCCCTGCCCATATGCACCCCTCTAAGACTGTGCTCAGTGAAGCGCTGGGAGGAACCCCACCCGGCTCTGCTCTCCCTCTGTTCCCCCAAGCTCAAACCTCACTGAATCACCTGCTCAGCGGAGGGGAAACTACAGGGAAGCGAAAAGCTTTGCAGGGTGTCTGCCTGGGATGATCTGGAGAGTCATATTTTGTAAACTATCGGTGCTGTTTGTTTCTGTTTTCCTTCCTTGGATGGGCTATTATCTCTCAGTGACAGATCTAGCGTGTAAAGACCCAGTCAGCTCCGCACTTACTGGCCAGTCAGCTGCCCTCTGCCTGTGACCCTGCTTCTCCCCTGCCTCCTCCCAGGGACCAGAGTGGGGAGGCGAGGAATACAGATCCCTCCAGCAGTGGGCACAGCTGAGAGCCCAGGAGAAACATTGCTGCACTTTATGAGAAGCGATGGGTCTCTGTGGTGGGAGGGGGCCGGAGTGGTGGGCGCAATAAAATAGGTAACATTACAGAGCAAGAAGGCTCAAACACATATTATCACGGTTCTCTGCCCTGCCCCCAGAGAAACATGTCTCATTACCCTGCTTTATAGAAGAGGACTGTGAGGTGTGACGGGGTTTGGTCTCCCTCCCAGAATCACATGGATAGTGCATGGGAGAGGGGGTTGAGAATGAAAATCCAGCAACCAACACTGGGGTCTGGGTCCAAACCACTGACACTGGGACCTGCGCTGACCCCATCCTGAGTTTCCTTTCTGCTGGTCAGCGCCGGGGAAGTGGCCTGAGTCTTGGTCCTATGCTGACCTTCACTCTTGAGGATCCCCTCCTCTGGGCCCCAGTTTCCTCAAATGTATCAAGGGGGCAACAGCTTAAGCCCTACCTTCTTACAACAGCGTGTGGGAGTGAGGGGGTGTCTGGTGAGGTTGTGGACATCAGAGAGCCAAGGGAAGTAGTAGTGAAGTTTGCATGGGGGTGGCTGTGGTGACTAGGGTATCCCTGTCCTCACTCTGGGCCCTGGGGTTTGCACTATGCCCTTGTCCCTTCCCTGCAACTCAGGGTTCCCAACTACTAGGTGTGCACAACTCACCCTGCCTTCGTGGCCATGAATGCGGCTCAGAAAGCCGGTGGAAGGGAGGGTGCTTGTAACCGGTCCACATAATGAGACAGATCCCGGCACTTCATCCACCCAGTTCATAGAGGATAGAGCCACTTGCCCAGAGTCACACGACTGGTAAATGAATGAGCCGGACTTTGAGCCCTGGTTTGCCTGGTGCCAGGGGCTGCCTCTGCACAGCAGACCCCTACCAACTTATCCTCCCCTGGGCTGGATACACAGAAATGACCCCTTTTACCTGAGCCCTCTGTCCTCTGACACAGATCCTGGGGCCAGAGCAGGGCCAGGATGGCCATTACACCTGGAGTCCACCTCTGCCCTGGGGGGAGGACACAGACAGTGCAGGGAGGCACCCTGACAGGTGACACGCTGTGGTCCCTGAGGTCCACTAGAGCCTCTGCCCATCTCTGCTCACCTCCTATGCTCTGCAGCTTCTTTCTGAGAGTCAGGGCCACATGGCTCACCTGGTCAACTCTGTCAGCGAAGTTCTGGATGCTCTGGATGCCCTGCAGAGGGAGCGGGGGCTGGGCCGAGCCCGAGCCAAGGCCGATCTTCAGAGAGTACCAGTCAAGGGAGCCCGGCCCCGGGGCTGTGCCAGCGGTGAGTCGGGGGACTGCCTTCTTCAAGTGATCTTGGGGAGCAGGAAAGCTGGCGGAGGGTGGCCCTGTCAGGAGACATGTGGAACCCAAGCATTTTCACCCTCTAGTCTCCCCACTCTACCCCACAGCCCTGTTTACAGAGGAATTGCTATGGGAGTCCTGGGGTGGCACTATAGGATAAGCACGCAACCATAAGGTTGGTTTGAACCGCAGGGTTGGCAGTTCAAACTTACCTTGAAACCCTATACAGAGTCACAGGAACTGACTCAACAGCACTTAACAACAACAACAGTAAGGCTGAGCTGAGTGTGCTATCCATGCCCTCACACTGAGCCTTCTCCCTAACCCAACAAGGCTCCAAGTCCCAAATGAGGAAAGTGAAGCTCAGAGAAGGCAGTTTACTCACCCAAACCCACAAAGAGAGTGGCAGACTCAAGGCTACATCCCAGGCCTGCATTCTCAGCCACACGGGGCACTGCTGGGTGGACAGAAAAGTCTGAGAGACCTAGGGACAGTGTCAGAGGTAGCCTGAGCCCAATGGTCCCTCACTGGCCTTCCCTGCCTCAGGCTCTCGGCCCCGTGACTGTCTGGACGTGCTCCAGAGTGGACAGCAGGAAGACGGCATCTACTCAGTCTTTCCCATCCACTACCCTGCGGGCTTCCAAGTCTACTGCGACATGAGCACTCACGGGGGCGGCTGGACGGTGAGTCTCTTGGCTGATGACAGCCCAGCCAGACCTGGCTTCCTCATGGCTCTGCAGGCAGTAGGGGTCCCTAGAGTGGCCTAGAAGGCTGTGCAGATGAACCCAGGGTCTCCCTGGGATGGACTCTGCCCTGGTACCTTCAGTCCCAACCCCCATAGGCCTGGTCATAATCTTCCCCAAGAACTCTGAAATGGGAAGGGCAGAGGGGTCTGCAGAGGGCCAGATGGTCCCATACAGTCTCTGCAATCTCTGTCTAACGATTCCACTCTGCTGTGGGAGGGAGGAAGCAGCCAGAGACAGAACAGAAATGCAGGGGCGTGGCTGTGTTCAATAATACTGTGTGTATAGACACTGAAAATGGGATTTCATATAATTTTCTCAGGTCATGAAATATTCCTTGGATTAAAAAAAAAAAACTCTTTTAAAAAATGTTAAAACTACTGTTAGTTTGTAGGCTGTATAAAACCAGGCAGCAGGTGAAGGACATGAGGGGTTCTTTTTTGAGGCAATGAAAATGTTCTAAAACTGGCTCTGCTGATGGTTGCAAAACTCTGTGAATATACAGAAAACCATTGAATTGTACTCTTTCAGTGGGCAAATTGATGGTATATGAATTATAGCTCAACAAAGACACAGAGACAGATAAACAGACAGGATTTGGCCTGTGGGCCATAGTTTGTAAACCTCCCTGTGAGCTCCAGAAGATTCCTGACAGGGACATGAGGAATTTGGGGGCTTCTGATCCTCTTCTGTAGCTCAGACGTAGAGGTGGACCTAACACTGACCACTGGGTGACTTTGTGCACATTTTTAAAAATTCATGTTGCTTTGGGCATGAGTAGACCACCTTTGGTTCAGAAGTTGGTGAGGAGACAGATGTGGGTCATATTTCAACCTGCCTTAACCCCAGGTGGTCCCTGAAACACCCCAAAAGCTGTTTACCACTCCCTCTAAACTGGTGGCTGTTGGGAGACTCAGTGACAGGGGGGAAGACTAATAGGAACTGATAGTTTTAGTTGTGTGTGTGATTTCTGCATGTGTGATTTCAGTGGCAGAGCCATGTTTGAGCGCCTACTGTGGACTGGGTTCTAGAGAAGTATGGGAATGGGGGTACATAGGTTCCAATTCTTTCAAGAAATTAAGTATTGTTGGGGATTTGCGATAGAGAGAACCTGTGTCTGGCGAACAGGCTGTTTCTGAGGAGCCTCAGAGGGTGGATAAGGTTTCTGATGTTCCTGGAAGAGGAGGCCTGGGAGTCAGAAAGAACATGGCATATTCAGGAAACAGAGTCCCCTGGGATGTGTGGCACATGGAAGAGATTAATCAGTGCTCTAGACACAGACTAGGGAGCTATTGAAGGTGCTGTTGTTAAGTGCCATGGAGTTGATTCTGACTCATAGTGACCCTGTATATGGTTTCCGAGGAGCGACTGGTGGGTTTGAACCCACGACCTTGTGGTTAGCAGTTCAGTGTTTGTCCTGTAGAGCCACACCAAGACTTCATTGAGGATGTTAGATTCAGGAACCATGACTAAGCTGGGCCTGTCCCAGAGCTGGGAGAGAGAATGGGAGGCAGTAGTTCACTTGTTCAGCTGATAGGCATTTATTTAACCGATCCCTTCCACCAGAGAAAGGAGCCCTGGTAGAGAGTGGCTATGCGTTGGGCTACTAACTGCAGGGTCAGCAGTTTGAATCTACCAGCTACTCTGTGGGAGAAAGATGAGGCTTTTTGCTCCCATATTTACAGCCTCGGAAACCCTATACAGGGTTGCTAAGAGGTAGAGCCAAATCCTTGGCACAGAGCCACTTCCGCTCCATCAGAGGTCATACACTTCCGCTCCATCACCCACAGGCAGACCAAGGTATGACTCTCAGTCCTGCTCTGTGACCATAGGCAAGTTATTTAAGTTTTCCAAGCCTCAGTTTTCCCAGCTGTGAAATAGCGGCACCCACTTGCACCAGTTAAGAGGTTTAATTGCAAACAACAGAAAGTGACTAAGCAAAAAAAAAAAAAAAAGGAATGTACTGAAGGGAGACTGAGAAACCAGCTCAGGGCTATGCAGCCTGAAACAGAGCCTCCCCAGACAAGGCCACATGTTGGCCAGGTTAGAATCCCGCTGCCCCTGAGCACAGCTGGACCTGGAATACTGCCACCAGGATTACAACCAGTATGGGCCTGGGTGCAACGGCACTGCTCCCCTTGGAAAGGGCGCGTTTGGTTCCTGCTTCTGGATTTGGAGTCAGTGGGTGTTTCTGATTGGTGAAACCTAGCTCACATGTCTACTGCTCACTGTAAGGACAGCTGGGAAAATAAGTAGTTGGTGATTTTAGTGGTTATAATGGGACTCGGGTGCTGCCTTCTACCAATGTTCAGAAGATGGGGAATTCTTCATAGGAAGGACAGCCAAGAAGATCCTTGTCCACTTTAGAGGTCATAGGGTTAGCCTAGGCTTCCATTGCCAGTGCTTGCAGAGCATTTAGCACTGGAGCCATTCAGTGACAATTCATGGTAATGAGCCATGCCCTATGCAAGACACTAGCAACTCACCGTGACCAAGCATGGGACCCTGCCCTGGTTTATCCCACCAAGCAAACTGGTGGCCCAGAGAACAGCTCACAGTCCTCACCGGGTACAGGAAGAGCTCAAGAGTTGGGGTTCATTTGCTTCCAGCAGTGTCTAGGTAGAACTTCTCCAGTCCCCCTTCTTGACACTTGGGCATGTGGAGAGGACAATAGTTTACATTAGGTTCTCACCAAGGTGCTTGGTGTTGACTATATTTAGCATATTGATTTCTAGGGAGGGGTTTAACTTCCCATGAAACAAGTGACTGAGAAGAAGAGGGGCGAGGAAAGCCTTGCGAAGAGATGACGTGGTAGGATGAGAGGGCAAAGGGTCAGCTGACCCAAATAGGGGCAAGACGTGAACAAGGAGGGCTGCAGGGGCGAGGCACGCTAACAGGGCAAAGTCAGCCATTAGGAGCCAGTGTGAGAGCAGTGAGAATCCCCCAAAGATCCCAAAGACAGACATATCTCTAAACCTGTCTTCAAGCTCCAACGGAGAGCTTTTAAATGTGCTGGATCCGTGTCTGGGGGTTAAAAGCGCTTTTGTTTTCCTAACTCTGAGAGCATCTGAGTTATGGCATTTGCCTCCAGAAACCCCTCAGTGGGCAGAACAGTGCAAACGCACCAGCTGTAGCCCAGAAATCAGAGTTAAGGGTTAGGACAGACTTAATGAAAGACGGAGACGACAGTCAAGGCCATGCATCTTCCACTTGGGTGGACTTGAACCCAATCTCCGGGGAAGTCAATCAGGATTTGGACTGGGAGGTGGTAATTCTGATGACTAGGACTTCAGGGAGGTTAGAGAGACATCCATGAGGAACCCCAGCACTCAGACACCTGCATTGGCGGGGCTCTGGGCCTGAGCCTCCACAGAGGAAAGGCCATTATTGTCTGAGAAGTGCTTGCATGGCTGATAAACGTTAATATCCATTAGGGCTTCCGTCAAAAGCAATCTTTTCCCAGGTTCCTCCAGGCATCTGTCAGGATCCCCGCCCTGCCGCATGGAATCTCAGAAACTCAATTGTTGTTTGGGAGGGAGCTGGCTGCTGCCTCTTTGGACCCCAATACCATCCATCCTCATTAGGCCCCATGTCCAAGTGCCAGGCCTCAAGTGCCAACACGTGATTGTTCTCCCTGGCAGACAGACAACCCAGAGCTGTGCCCCAGAGACCATAGGGCCACTAGACATCTGCTATTCAGAGACACTGAGAGAGCAAGGCTAGCTATGAGCTTCAGGCGGCCTAGCAGTCCTGTCCTTCTCAAGAGACTTTCAGGTTATATATCACTGACCTGCCTGGTATCCTTCAACACCCCTCCAACTGTCGGAGGCAGCAGAGAGGGCAGGAGATTTGTCCAAGTCACCCAATGAGCGTCCAGGTTAGGGAAGCACCCAGATCTCCAATAGAATTCACTGTCACATGGTTGTTGTTGTTAAGTACCATCTAGTCAGTTCTGACTTATAGCAGTCCTATATAGGGTTTCCGAGGAGCGGCTGGTTTGAACTGCCGACCTTGTGATTAGCAGTGCGGTACTGACCCTGTGGCGCCACACCAGGACTAATTTATTTGGGTCTACCACCACTGAGTGTCAACAATATCGCCAGTAAGGGAGATTCAATAGAGGGTAAGGCAGACCAGTGAACTCCCAGCCTGGTTGGGAGATGGACAGGTCAGCTGACAATTTCTAAGCAATATGATGGTTTCAGAGCTGGGAACCACAGGAGTCCAAGAAAGACTCCCTAACTCAGCCTGGAGCACCCAAGAGAGGCTTTGCAGACATGAGTCTTACTGCCAAGAGGTAAGGCGGAGTTTTCCAGGCACAGGGAACAGCATGTGCTAACAGTGTGGCTTGTTTGGGGTCCACGAGTGGTTGTGTGGTCCTGGTGTGCTGAGTATGAGGGGCTTCTACTCTGGGAGGCAGGCACCTTAGGAGTTGGGTACAGTGGGCTCCTGCTGCCCACTGGATTCCCTCAAGGAGAAAGTGACCCACACAGGCCAGGCCGAGGGGTATGGTGAGTGTGGTGGACAGTTCAGGCAGTGTGAACTCCACAGCTCCCTAAATCCTTGCTGCAGAGAATGAAAGGCTCCCACCTGGGGATGGAGCTAAGTGTGGCTCCTTGGGATGGGGAGGCCACAGAGCTAGTGGACAAATGGTGGTTTTGTGTCATGGAATCAGTTCCCACTCATAGTGACCCTGCATAGGGTTTCCGAGGCTGTAAATCTTTACGGAAGCAAAAAGCCTCATCTTTATCCCACGGAACGGCTGGTAGTTTTGAACTGCTGACCTTGAGGTTAGCAGCCCAACTTGTAACCATTACCAGAGCTCCTTAATGGACAAATGCTTCTCAGTGACTATGGCTGCTGACCTTGGCTAAGCTGAAGCCTCCTCTCCACACTCACCAAAAGCCACAGAGGCTCAGACCCTACAAGTCACACTGCCC